TTTCGAAAAACTCTCGGAAACTTTCCATGTCCCTTTCAACACCAACATTTGGAAGATCAGGCATCATGTGAGCAACAACCTAGAACAAAAGCCGAAAAAGAAAAGCATAAACACAATGACAACAAATAGTATATCTTATAACTCTCATGACCAACCTACTGCCTAGTTTGTATTCTAAGGGGATATAGTTAGGGAAAGTTGCTTACTATGCAGATGAATCTATTTAAAGCATGTCCATGCCTAGACAGATATAATGAGATAGCACACAAGGTTATTATTAAGTTCATTACAAATTTGAGGGTGGGAATATGCATATATATATATAGGAAAATAGTTTGACAGAACAAAGCTGTGACTGAAGGTACAGATTGAAACAATGGACAAACCTTGAAACCAGCATCTTTAGCCAGGCAAAAACAATCAGCTACAGCCGCAACAGTATGTCCTCTATTAGTGTCACGAGCAACATCCTCATAGGTACTTTGGACTCCAATCTCCAATCGTGTACAACCATAAGAAAGCATCTGTCCAAGTGAGGCCCAAGACAATAATCTGGCCTCCTGAGAAATTTAAGAAATGCAAAACTTGATAAGCTGCTCACCGGTGTGTTGCATTAACTATTACTATTGAACATTTACTCAAAGATTCCACGCATATAATTATTGATATGGTCAAACAAAAAATGCATTAAAACCCTAGAAAATTATAATAGACCAGTTTATTACAACAACAAAAACAGTCTTCTTTCATAAGAGGAGTTCAGTGACATGAATCAAATGGCACTGTAATGTCTACCTATGAACCACATCTAATGACAAATCATTTAAACTAAAATCCATCTTAATGGCCTGATTTGTAGATTTTCTTGGTCTCTCTCAAGTTCTAATTAAAAAATAACCTCCATATGATCCATTTTCCCTAAAATGGTTTCTAAAAGTGTTCTCTTCACATGCCCAAATTCCCAGAAAGTCCAAAGCACTACTCTATTCAAAATTTTATACCGCAGACTTAAAATTTAACATTCTTTGCAACATGCAAATTATTAAACGGCAGACAACTCACGTTTCAATTGTCATGCCAATACACTTGGTTGCACTATGCTCAGAGTACGTTACCGCCTCCTCTACATTGGCCGAAGTGTGTCCCGACAAAGCATCATGAAGATTCCTTATAAAGTAATCACGGTAATCCGCCGGAAGAGACATGAAAGTTCCACCCATCAATATAAACTCAACCTGAAAAATAATAAATCACACACACAACATTACAATCACACACTAACTACATTCACACATATTTCATGCACTTCGATCACTCAATAGACAATAATAGTGCTTCAAACCTTGTCTACACTGTGACCTAAACGCTTAAGCTGATCTATCCTAACTCTTGTCTGAACATAAGGGTTATACCTAAATCCAAAGCAAAAAAAAAAATCATCAAATTAACATGTGTAGAATAATTTCATTTAAGAAATTGCATTTTAATTTCTCAAAGAAAATGAACGGAAAACTTACCTTGCTCGAATTGCGCGCATACTAGGAGGTTCATAACCTGTGTAAGACTGAGTACTGTATTCAAAATCTGAGTCAGGACCACCAGGGCAGTAGACACAAATGTTACCAGTGGTGGCAATATGAGGGCAACGGTGAGGCTTCGACATGACGGCGACAACGGCGATTCCGGTTGCGGTTCGGATGGGTTTGGCTCGGAGTTTAGGAAGGAGAACCTCTCGTTCGGAGTCAGGTAGAGCGGCAATCATCTCGACAAGTTTGGGGGCGCGTGAGAGGCCGTACTTACAGCATGCGGCGGACCTGAGAGCATTGAGATCCACTTTGTGGCCTTTATGAGATAGGTCGACCATGGAATTCACAATTTCTGCAATGGCTCGCACGCGCTTCCTCTTCAGTGAGGCCATGGCCTTCAAAGCCTCCCTTCCCCGGTCGTGGCGCCTTTCTCGCCTCCGCTACCATTGCAGCCGCCATCCTCGACAACTGCAAACACCAAAAGAAATCAACTGTTGAAGATTTTGCCTCTTGCTTACTATCAGCAAAAGTAACTCTGTAGCCGTGGGTACCAGCAGAAAACCCATCATGGACACGGATCAGATAGTTGTTTGGATATTCACAAATAAAATTAACAGCTTATAAGAGTCAGGGAGTTGGCGAGAATATCATTGAGCATTAAGAAAAAGGGGAAATCATGATAAATGGTTGAAAATACAAAGCCCGCGCAAAGCAACAGTGGGACTAAAATCAGAAACCGAAGTAACGAGCAAAGCAAAACTTAAATCAACAAGCATGAAACAGTGGTGAAAAAATGGTAACGGAATCAAAGGCTAAAGAAGCGCAAAAGGAACTTACAGTAGGGAGAGAGGAACTGAATCACTGATGATGCACGGAGAACGGGTGAGTCGCCCACACAGAGAATTGATGGAATGGAAGGGAGATGTGATTATTAGTTTTTACGGTTTTAGTTGGGTTACAGTCATACTGATGAAGGAGACACTTTGAACGAAACGAGACCAGATTTTTTTTTTCTTCTTTATTTATCTATAAAAGAAATTTTTAATTTCTTTTCAATCTTTGTCATTTTCCCAAAACCCTTTTTATTAAATTTTTTCAAAAGAGGGTAAACATATATTGATTTAATTTAATAATGGTAAATTATCTAATATATGTGAATTTATGTTGAGTAATTTATTGATGTCTACGCTCTCCAATTAAATTTTTTAATTTAATTAATTAATCAAAATTTAAAATGAAATGTTTTGGACCAAATTTTTTTTTCCATGCTTTGGTCCATCTTTTTAACATACAATTGATTTATTTTGTTTGTGTAACATATATAAACACTAACAACATTTGTAATGAAAACAATGTGGGACTACTATAACACCATCTACTATTATGCTATGTTATATATTTCATCTTTTCACCCTCTCTCTACAGTTCTCTCTATATAGCCATGTGCAAGTTCTTTCCTTCATAACCATATAAGCCAACTTCGGCCACCATTTCTAACTTTGCACTTCAGTTTTAAGGTTACTATTAGAGGTAGTCCTATGATGCACAAGTGAGACAATACTTGCATCATGCACAAATAAACAAATAAAGTAAAACTGAAAGTGTATTTGTAGAAACTTTGATGCAATAAATCAACAAATAAAATTGTTAAGCAATGTCGGTGTTCTCATTTCTCAACATGCAAGCAATATAAATATTATCCTTCGCCAACATTACTTCAGATGTATGTTATAGCTACGCAAATTCATAGCTGTCAATATAAACACCATTATCTAAATTGCAGAGTTTCTATGGACATACAAATCTAACCGTGATGGACATTATCCACTTATGGAAATTTACAACTATCCAACTATATTCAAAGCTTTATCTCCGCACTAAATTGTCCAATTCTTTTTTAGGAAGGGAATTTATCATTTGTTCATGGATAATGCATGATCGACTTCTCCCTTTCTTATAGTTTCGTAAACAAAAATTTATCATAACATTGAACAATATTCTAACAGTAAGCGTTCATGAAGGCATCATACTCAACATTTGAACACAATCTGAGCAACAAAGAAATTTATCATTTGCAAATATTTGGGCCGTCTTAATTGAAAATTTGGCAAGAATTAGTTATGAAAGGAAGAACTTACACATGGCTATATGAAAAGAGAGCTACAGAGAGAGTGAAAAGATGAGATAGATAACCTAACATAATAGTAAATGGTGTTATAGTAGTTCCACATTATTTTCATTACAAATGTTGTTAGTGTTTACATATGTTACATAAACACAACAAATTAACTGTGTGTTAAAGAGGTGAACCAAAGGAATAGGACAAAATGGTTAAGCGCAAAGTGTTTTATTTAAAATTTTAATTAATTAATTAATAATAATAAATTAATAATTTATTTATTTATTAATAAAAATAATATTAATAAATTAATTATTCTAATCAATAATTAAAGTCTCAAATTAAACTCAAAACTAAAAAAAATTAAAATAGTGATTTTTAAGACTATAGTTACAATTAAACCTATTTTAAAAAGAAAATATTAAGCCAATAAATTAATCAAAAGCAAAATTTGATAGAGAAATATAAAAAAAACAGCTGTCTCAGCTGTTTTGTTCTGCTTTTCACCTTAACTTCACTTGATACAAAATAATCCATTTTTCCTTTCTTTCTTTCTTTTGTTGAATTCAACTCTTCTACCTGTCAACTCTCTGTACTGAAAAAGAATCACATAATAACAACAAACAACAATAAACCTTCTTTTCATTTCATTCTCTCTCTGCAACCACACTTCTCAGCTTCACTGCTTATCTTTATTTCATAGACCCACCTTTTCATTTCGGTAAAGTTCTTCCCTTTTCTCCTTTTTCCACCTTCTTCATTCGTTTTTCTTCCTTATATTATACCCAAAATGCATCAATCTTCTACTTTTCATTTCGGATCTTATTGCATTTTCACCTTCTTCTACATTTGGAACAATTCACGTATACCTAATGACTCAAGTTTGATTTTTTTGTTACTTTTGTTGTTGACATTTGATAAAGTTGCTTGCTTGCTCAGGTTATAGTACTGCAACTAGAAAGGGTTTAAACAGTACTTTTTGCTTTTGTTTTTGTTTTACCTTATCTTTTAAGTACTTTTAAGGGCATTTGGATCTGGAAGTGCTTTTAGATTTTTGGGTATCCTTTTAGATTATTAATTAGGATTTGGGACCAGGTTTTTTGTGAACTTGAATTTTTTTGTACTAATTGGTGTTGTTTTTCACAGGAATTGGATATTGATAGCTTAGCTTCTGTTGAGCTTCTTAAATATCTGTCTTGTATTTGAATTGAGGTTTTATTAGAAGCTTTGAGTTGTGGAGATTGGAGAATTTTGAGTTTTTGCTTTTCAGAGAGTTAGTTGTGCACTTGTTCACTGGAATTGTGAGCTCATCTCATGACGCGAAGTTGTTGCTATGAGATAAATGTAGAAGCAAGATGATTGAGCAATTCATCAATTTCGTTATTAGGCCGCCGAGGTATTATTAGTTTTTGTTTCATTGGTTGGTGGCTTGGTAGGTACTAACAAATTTATCTCTAGCATTTTGCTCCCTTACATGTTTACATGTAGAAAAGCCATTTTCGATTCTAATGACCATGTCATCTTCGTGGTTGAGTATTAAGGGAAAAAAGCACTTAGTCATGTTATTATTATTTTTGCAAATTGAGTTATAGTTTTGGTGTGTATACTTTGTGACTTTCATAGGGCGGACTATAACCCGGATCAGTATCTGTGGGAAAAGGAATTCTCCCTTGCTGGTAGAACGTACCAAAGGCAGGATTTGGAGGCAAGTATGGACTATTTATTTCATAGGTTATTGCAATTATTGTCTCGTTTATATATAGAAGTTACACCATGATTCCAACTGTTTGCGTATATACTGCTAGATTATCTATTTTCTAATTGTGCAGCTTAAGAATGCCAGAGGCTATACCTTGAAGTGTAGTCATTATCTCCCTTCTCCGTTTCCTGAAGATACTTCTCTTCCTTGTGTTGTATATTGCCATGGAAACAGGTATATGTTACTTTTATGTCTAATGCTATTGATTCTAGTTATGATTGTAAATATTACTTTTAGAGCATTAACTTATCGAAATGACATAGCAGTTCCCGTGTGATATGTGTTCAATGATGCAGTGGATGTAGGGCAGATGCAAATGAAGCTGCTGTAATCCTTCTCCCATCAAATATTACTGTTTTTACCCTTGACTTCTCAGGGTCAGGCTTATCTGATGGAGACTATGTTAGCCTTGGTTGGCACGAAGTAAGTTACGACTTTATGAATGTGTTAGTTTGTTTAATTAAAACAAAATATTACTCTTTTCACCCTTGTTTTCTCGGGGTCAAGCGTGTCTGATGGAGACTATGTTAGCCTTGATTGGCTTGAAGATTGTAATGTTGTCAAGTTGAATGTTACTGTTACTATTTTATACAAAAGGAACTTTTAGACTCTTTTTGACCATTCTTTTGTGTGGTAGAAAGATGATCTGAAGATTGTGGTGTCACATTTGAGAAGCAACAAGCAAATATCCCGAATAGGTTTGTGGGGACGATCAATGGGCGCAGTTACTAGGTATTACATCTTCCAATGAATTTCAATATTAGTTTTAAAGAATTCGTCTGGTTTTGGTATTGGAAGAAGATAAAGAGGGAAAAAACTGATTGTTTTTTGGAACTTTTTAGTATGTAGTTATAAACAAATTATCTCTAATAAAACGGAGAATTTACTTTGCTTTGATGTGGTGTAGCCTTCTTTATGGAGCTGAAGACCCTTCAATTGCTGGAATGGTATTGGATAGCGCCTTTTCTAACTTATATAATCTCATGATGGAGCTCGTGGATGTTTATAAAATTCGACTTCCAAAGTTCACTGTACTCCTTCTCTCTCCCTCTCCCTCTTTGTGTGTGTGGATGCCAAAATCCCTTTGTTATATGAATGCTCAATTGAAACAGTTGTGGTGTATTGGAAAAAGTGGGACTATATATGGTTGTAAGCGCAAAAAACTTCAAAGTTGTTGCTGTAGTTGTAACCGCATCTTAATATGCTGTTTATTTGTACTTGTTATTTGTAAACTTTTTTCATAAGTTGTTGCTGGAACCTTAAGAGGTTAAATTGTTATAGGCTCTAGCTTCTAGGACTTGGTGTATCTGCAAGTCTTAATTTAGTAAAAATTAGGTGCATTGTATCTGCAAGTCTTAAGTTAAGATGGAAAAGTAAAGTAGTAGGAAACCCTAGGATTGAAGATTAGAATTTAATTTTGATTAAGATTTTATTTTGGATCTAGGTTTTCTTGTTATAATTGCAGTTCGTCTTTTTATTAGGAAATTGTTAAACATGAAAATTGGGGATTTAATAGTTATGCATCTTAGGGGATATTGCCTAGTTTGCATGATTTTGTCCATACATTTATTAAGTCGGATATTTGGCTGCATTTTTTTCCCCAATTAGGTTAAAATGGCTGTACAATACATGCGGCGGGTTATTGAGAAGAAGGCAAAGTTTGATATTATGAAACTGAACTGTGTTCTGGTAAGTATTAATTGATCATATTTTGTTTTTATGAATGTAATTATGTAAACTTTCATTGTTTTTACGATGAAATCCAAGCATGATAGGCTTTACTTTCTGGCTAAAAGAATTTCTTTTCGAGTCCATTTTTATCTTAAGCTAATGCTTTTGAAGCGTACAGGTTGCACCGAAGACATTCATTCCTGTTTTATTTGGACATGCAAGTGATGACAAATTCATTCAGCCACACCACTCCGATCTCATCTCTGAGTCGTATGCGGTATTAATTTTACTAAATATTTGATCTCGATACTTTCTAAAAGCAGTTTGCATTTTTTAACTCTTTGAAAGCCAAAATATCTAACTTCTGGTTATGACTTTGTAGGGTGATAAAAATATCATAAAATTTGATGGTGACCACAACTCCTCTCGACCACAATTCTTTTACGATTCAGTTTCCATTTTCTTCTACAATGTCCTCCGTCCTCCTCAAGTTTCTATTGCTGAAAAGCTCGAGAAATATTATGATTTGGGTGATTTGAAGCTTGGTTCCGGTGTTGATGAGGTATTTAGCATTTATATTTCATTGTCTTGAAATATAAATGATACTACAGAAACTAATTTGCTCTTTTTCTTTTTGCTTTTCATGCTAGAGCGTATTATATGAGATTCTCTCTAGTCTGCGGTCTGCAACTACTGATGCTGCAAGTTCATCTTCTGCATTTCCAACAATATCTGCAACAAAATCAGTTACCGAACTTCTTTCAGAAGCAGCTCCACTGGCTGATGCAGTAGGGGGCCTTAACCTTCCGTCTCCATTATTTTCTTCAAAACACCTTTTCTGTTTAGTTTATCCATTGCTTGTAACGCAGGAGCCTTTGTTTGAAGATGACACTACAGATAAAAATGATAGAATTGGCCATGATGAATCCACAAATGGGCAGGTCATCTTTATATAACTGTCTCTGAAATTAATAAATGGTCCGGAAATTTAGGATATTCCTTTACTTGAACTATCCCATGAATGACTTTATAGGGTAAGCTAAATGGGCAGATTGAAGATTGTTGCTCATATACAAGCTCAACTAGAGAAAGTTGGGGAAGATGTTCTTCTTTAGGAGGCAGCGATCAAGAATCTTTTGCAGATTTAAGTGCTGATGATAAACACTCTCAGGTCTCTCTCTCTAGGCTTATTCATTACTAGCAGCAGATAGATGTATATTGAAAATGATTCTCAAAATGAAACTAAATTATTTGTCATGTCAGAATACGGTGAAGGTGTTTGCAACACCTTTGCGAAGCATGAAAGAGAAGTCATCTGATCCAAAAGAAGATGAAAAGACGCACAAGAAGAATAAAAAGAAGAAAAATAAAGCGGAAACGGTTGTGAAGAAACCGAAGAGTGACAGATTTGAGAAGCTGGAGGCTCTCAGTAGACGGTTGCGGCTTTGCCTTCTAAAGGGGTCAATCCATCGAAGAAACAAGTCAACTTGACCTCTTTTGTATCATATCATAATCATCAAATAGTCGATCTAATTGTTAACGATATCAAATTTGTGTGTAGGTTGTGGCTAGTGTAGTAGTAGATTTTAGTTTTATTTTAGGAATTGACGAATATTGGTTTCTGGTTGGCTTTGTTTTCACTGCTATGATTGTTGAGTATGAGTGTGACTGACTCATTTTAGGAATTGCTAAATATATGACTTCATTAATGAGAGGACAAGGGTCCTAAGAGAGAAACCTAAATGATACTTCCTCTTTGTGGTTTTGCCATGTTTTTTTTTTTTGCTCATTTGGTGAAAAGAACCTCAAGTAACCATTGATTAGTACTCTGTTGAATGATTGTAGCAGGAAAGAATAATACTCATGATATGAAGATTACATTGGGGATAGAGGTGAAAGGCCTCAAGGAAAAATATTGTGTTTAGTATCTGACATGATTTAAGTATGATTTTCTCAAATGGAAGTCCAAAAAAACATAAAATATTATTTATAGTTATTTTTTATTATTAAAGTTATGAATTTAACGTTGACATATTTCTGAGATACATCTGCAGAACCATTTTAAACATGCATAACGTGTTATTCAAACATCATTTATATTTGAATTATTCTGGAGATGCACTTTCGATAATTTTCTGAATATACATCTCTGAAATGTATCAGAATAGGTTGTTTCTTACTATAAATTGTGTATTTGTTTTTGGATAAAGTATAACATGCGATCCCAAAAAAATATAAATAGTCGTATAAAATAATAAGAGATGTATCCTGAATGAAGTATATCAATACATGTAAAAAATGTCGTACAATATAGATCCAAAATGCGATAAAATCGTAAAGATAAAATAGAGACTATAGTAATACAACATAATAATAACAGACTATTAGTGGGTGTGTCTGACAACATCTCTTCTGCCTCATCTGCCTCCTCAACCATAAATCCCCTCGTCCTCCTGTGATGTCTCCGGTACAACAGTGCCCGCTGTACCTCCGCCACCATGGCATCCAAGACTCGTCTGACAACATACCCCTCAGGAAAGATACCCTCGTCAATGCATGCCCGTCCAATCTCCATTATGCGACGACGTCGAGGCAAGACATCATCAATATGATCTAACTGAGTCTGCTCCTCCTCTAGTATCTCTTGATGAGGTGATGTCGACGGATCTTCTGGAACAGTCTGCACCATGTACGTATGTGACACCCTGAAGAACCACCTAATGTATCCATTGACGTAACTCCAATCGTTCGGTGCTATGGTAACATGTGCTTCCTCCGGAGCCAAATGACTATTATAATCAACAAACATCTCCTCTATTTGTCTACGAGTCAAGGCAAGAGGAAAAGATACAAAAGGGTGTCTAGGGATGGTCTGTGTGTATCCGAACTGCCGCATGACACGCTCAGGCAGGTGAAGAGTAGTGATACACGATCCGCAGGCCAACCATCTTAATTATAGTGATATCTCGTCAAATGGTCGTGTCCGACAGTGATACACGTAGCTGTTGAAATGCATGTCCTCAGCAACCAAACAATCAAAGTAGACTATGAAAGGCTCGACCGCCTGGTTCCGTCTCGGCGGGATAAAAGCACAGACACGAGACATGTTCACAGTGTACTCATCCACACTCGCCCAACCAACGATGCGCAGGAAGTGCCGAAGGATCCAAGCCTAAAATGAAAATAGAAAAAAACATTCAAGGATAAAGAATTATCGGCAATGGTTTCGCAAATATGAAATGAAAATGACAAAAAAATATTCAAGGATCAAGAATTATTACCACCAGTAGTGTCACGTTCCCTGTGACCGACTTCGTCTTCCACAGACATCTATCCTTCAACTTCGAACAAAAATAGGCCAGGCAAGCCACCCCCAAGTTGTACTCATTGATCTGCTGTAGATCTAAGAAATACCGAAGGTATGCAACATCAATATAAGTGACACTCATGTCCACAAAAATACAAGTGTAAAAAAAAAGTATGCTCTCAAAGCATGCGCTCTGTGTACCGCCACCTGCTCATCCTCACCATGTGCCTGTTGTGCCTTGTCGAACTAGGTCATATAGAGCTTCCTCATGAACTTAAATCTAGCATGAGCACCCATGGTCTTATCCAACTCCTCCACCGCATCCTCTGGATCAACCCCTAGATGCTCTACCATCATCTTGAATGGCTCGTCTCTGGTCATCCTCCCATGATCGAAAAATGTAACAAACACGAGATATTGTCTAGTGTGATCGACATCTCACAATGCGGCAGATGAAACAAAGAGGTCTCAGATTGTCATCTCTCCACGAATGCATTAAGCATCCCGTGGTTGACCAGGTTGTACCCGGTCATGCATAGGTGCTTCAGGCTAAATAATAATAAAACAATGAAACCAATCATCCTCATGCTGAGGCAATCCAGCAATCTTTCTCTCATGGTTACGAAACTTCTAGGGATCACGCACCTGAAATTTGTCAGAAATAAAGAATGTTAGTAATAATCAATGTCAGAAATAATCAATATCAACAATTAAAATTAATGTAAAAAATAAATCAAAAATCTAACTAATGCTACCTCTTTGTCCTAGATATGTCTGTCAGTGTGGTCTGGATACAGAGGAAGTAAGGACATATTGGACCTCCTCTAAAACCCTCTGACTCGGCATCCGCAGCAGCCTCACCCTCCAGAGGTGGCACTAGATCAGCAGGATCATTAGCGGTAGGTGGCACTGGATCAGTAGGAGGTGGCACTGGTGAATCCTGATGTCTGCGGGAGGATGGGGAAGTGATGCATCAGCTGGTGAATCTCGTCTCTTACGGGAAGAAGAAGAAGGTGGAGTGACCTGAGGTGAAACACGATCCCCATAAGTAGACTGCGCCATAGAAGTCGACGTCTCTGCCTGACCAGAGGTACCTGCTGCCTCTGCTCCCGCTGAACAGATGCGTGTTAAGCACCCTGCCATGTCTCAGTCTATTGACTCTGTTATCCATTATGCCTGTAAGGCATATTATTAGTGCACGCAAACAAAATAAACAAACAAGAAAATTAAAAAATAATAATCTGCAGGAAATTCAGAGATGCATCTCCGAAAACATCATACAACAATAACGTTGAACAATTCTGGAAATGAATCTTTGGAAACACCTCAAAACTATTAACTTTGAAGAGTTCCGGAGATGCATCTTCGAAAATTCCTTAAGTATATGAGACACTGAACTATTCTGGAGATGTATCTCTGGAAAGTTCTGCAACTCAGAGGTCGCGACAATGGCGTAATGTGACTCATGCAAGTTAAAAAAAACATGATTTGGTCGCTATTTTGAGTCAATAAACAAGTCATACACTAAGTCTAAACAATGTTACATGCGATTCCTACACATTTCTAATCCTAATCATTGATTTCTACACATTTACACTAAAACTCAAAATTTATTCAAAAACTTGAAAATTTACCTGAAATTTATAGTTTTGATGATGTTGAATGATGTTATTGATGAAATTTGATGTTGTGAAGTTGAAGTTGAAATTTTATATTGAGAAGAGTTTGCGAAGTGTATGTTAAGAAGTGTGAGGGAGAAGAAGAGTCTAACGTGACTTATACTCCAAATTATTTCGGTGATATATTTTCGAAATATTTCAACATTTATTAAACTTTTGACGCGTCCAAAAATATATCTCTGAAATTAGAAAACATGTGTGAAATTTCACAAAATGCGGTAGAAATGCATAAGGTAGTATAAGAAAATTTTCAAAATTAAATATTTATGTAACAAAATGAATTTGGGCCAATCAAATCAGAAAACATAGATTTGAATGACGAAATTTTGATTAGCCATTGGTTTCCGATCTCACTTTTTCTATCTATATAACATAGTGTAACATAAGCATAATATCATATAGACGTGCGCGTTGCAAAACATAAAGAAATTTTAAACTTGTTGAACGATGCAAAATAAAAAAAAAAAGGATTATAATAATAATTTGGCTTAAATGCAGTTTTAGTCCCCAAGTTAAGTTTTTCTAACCTTTTAAGTCCCCTTAAAAAAAATTCAGCTTTTAAGTCCCTCACGTTGAATTATCTTGGAATTTTCTTGGCCCTCACTTTAGTTTGGGCTATGTGGCATGGTTAGCGCTGATGTGGCACAGTAAAATATTGACCCAGGCTGGAAATAATTTGCCACGTCATTTAAAATATTATATTTAATTTTTTAAAACATTTAAATTAAAAAACATTTTTAATTAAACAAATTGATTAAAAAAGATTATAAAACACGTGTGTCTTCTTCCCCATTTGAAATTTGTGAACCCTATAAATCATTCTCCAGAATTCGTTTGTGTTCTTTCCCAATTACTTCTCCATAATTCGTTTCAAGCTTCACCCAAACCTTTAACATCCATGTCCGAATATTCAGCATCAAGCAATCGCAGTGTGTCCCACTCCAATCACGTCGAATGCAAGTGTGGTGTTCCTTCTCCATTGGTAACGGCGTGAGCTGATCAAAATCCAGGTCGTCGTTTTTTTTGGATGTGGGATGTACAAGGTTAGTTTCATGTATATTTCTTAAAAATCCCAAATTTGTTATCTTCTCCTGAAAATCCCTAATTTCTTCATGTACATGTCTAGAATCAGGAATACAAGAGATATAGTCACTTTGTATGGTATGATGAAGAAATGTCTCAACGAGCCAAGGAAGTGATATCTTTAATGCATCAAAAATTAAACCAAGAAAATGTTAAGTTGAATGAAGTCATTGTCAGAGAAGATCAACTGAAGTTGAAGATCAAGTATTTGAAGATGATGAACAAGTTTACCATGGGAGTGACCTTAGTGTTGTTAATTGGGTTGGTTGTATCAAATATAATAAATTAGTTTGTATTGTTTGTGTTTGGTTGTAATGTGTAAGGTTTGTTAAGTGTTTGGTTGTAATGTGTTAGGTTTGTTAAGTGTTTGGTTGTAATGTGTTAGGTTTGTTAAATGTCTGTAATGTATTGTTATGACAAGG